GCGTTGCGAGGCAAGGGCTCAAACATGTACGGCTGGAAGCCTTCTACACCAAACCAAGCTTCTGCCGCCCTGGTGTCCTCTTCCACAACATCTTCCTCCCACTTTCCTCCTCTAAATATAAAATGTATGACGGAGGAGACTCATCCACGACCTCCGACACTAAACTTAACTTTAATTTCCCATTGGGAACCTACTAGCACTAAGTTGCTAACTGGTTAGCAACGATGCTTCGAAGAAACCGGCCACAACCAAACTTACTTGCGAACCTTCCGCCACAACAATCCCGCCCCCTTGATAAACGACCAATCACATTCACTTTATTCAGTCGTGTAAAGTCGTGCACCACTCAGGAGAATTCAGAAATGCAACGGTTGGAATCGCCGCTTCCCTACAACTTTAAAGGAAAAGCTTTGCAAAGTTCAGGTTAGATGTAAGTGGGGTGGTTGTCTCTCTGCAGATATCAAAAACGATTTCTGGAAGATCACTAAGCAATCACTAAGCCTGACTTTGAAGCACATTTGAACAGCTTAATGTTAGCCAGAATACGTACATATTCCTCGTATGTGTCCTGCACTATGGGCGGAGCCGCCCTGTAGCTGGCAGCCGGTGGGGCCCCTCTGGCTCTCTGGACTCCTCTCCCTCTGGAGGACGGGGCCCGGCTGGGCGGGGCTCCTCTGGGCGCAGCTCCTCGCGGCACTGCTGCATGCAGGGGAGGAACTCCTCCACGACTCCTGACAGAAAAATACAGAAATCCTCCATGTTTAAATAAAGAAAAGAAAGATATGAGATCATACAGCATCTTCCACACCTTTTTTGTCAACTACAGGTCAATTCATTTATTATAGCAGGAGTTTACTTAAAAAAAGTAAAAAAAAAAAAAAGTTTTTTAAACACCTCTAGTCTAAGTAAGGCAGTATTTATCATCAGATTCTTAGGTTTCATAAAAGGTTTTTTTTTATAAGATATTTATACACTATGAAAAAAAAAAGAATGCTTAATGTTAGCTAGATGTTTTTAAACAGAATTATGGAAATAACATTGCTATATAGAGGTAAGCAAAACATTTAATGTTAAAGCTAAAAGTAATTTGAACGGAAGCGTATTGCCTTCACCAAAGAAAAAAAAATCAGACAGCTTATCTCATAATAACAAGATCAGTATTTCATAATCATGGGATATTATCTCGTAATTATGACAAAAGATCTCATTATTACGAGATACAGATCTCGTAATAATGAGAATTATGAGATAAGCTTTTAGATTTATTTTTCTTTGGTGAATGCAATACAATTTGTGTATTTGTTTGCTTTGTATTAAGGATTTTTTCCAGATGTTTTATTGCCAATATCGATCACCCATGAGTATTCTGTCCTAATGAAAGAACAAAAAACCTGATCAAAGAATATGTAATAGATTGAAAAAAGTTTCTAAAAGTTAAATAACAATCACTGCCTTCATCAAATAATGTCAAATAAGGAAACATTCAAAGTCAAATGCAGTCTCTGTTTAAATGGAAAATCAGAAGTTACTAAATCAAAACCAAGACCCTCCTCCTTTGTTTTAAGTTTAATGCAGAGATTAAAACTTTGAGTTTTGTTTTTTTTAGATACAAAGATCAGCTTTAAGAAGACACCCACAATGGTCCCACATTTGTGAAATATTTAATTCAGTTATTAATTAGGTTCTGTTTGTTTTTATATCACTAAATCAAAACAGATGCTCCCTCTGCATTTCACAAAGACAATTTAATCAAATCATCCACTAGGAAAACCAGCTGAGTTCATCCAGTCATTGACTTTGCAGGAAGGTAACAGTAAATATTAATTTGCTTATGTCACTGACTCTGCAGCAATCCCTAACAATGAGCATGCATGTAATTACAGTGGAGAGGAAAAACTCCCATTTAACAGGAAGAATCCTCCAGCAGAACAAGGCTCAGTGTGAGCGGCCATCTGCCGAGGCTGACTGGGGATGAAGGAGACGGAAGCAGAGATACAAAATGAATAAAGAATCACTGATCTATAAATTCTTCCTATGTCAGAAAAGGTAACTGTAAACTAGCTCCATAGGTGGCTCTGTCTAGGAGCGAAACAGTTAATCAGATGAGCTCGTTCATGCATTTTGATGTGTTTCATCCCCATTATAAGACACAAAGATAAAGGTGATTGTTTTTTTAATTTGGCAACTCAAGAGAGGGATCAGTGATCACATACTTAATGAAAATGGGAGGATTATGAATGGTGGCCGATCAATCAGAATTTTGCTATTATTAAGGCAAATACGGAGTCTCCTTCTCCCTGCTGGTGAGACAGAAACAGGTGGGGGAGAGGCAGCAGTTTTTAGGCTTTATTAAGAATTGGAGGTTTTCTTTACACCGTAATTGTTTAGTAATCTGTGTACCTTAGTCAGATGGGACCAAAAATTGAGCTCCAAATGGTTCTTTCTTGGCCAAAAAAGATAAATATGTTCACAAAGTACCCTTGACTCCAATCAGTGCGGTGGAGTGGAATATTTTTGGTGACTTCATTAGTGTGTATGACATCATTAACTGTATATCACACAGGTACACTGAAAAAAGTGTAACATGTAGCTCTTCATTCAAACTAAATACTGTCACTGTAAACTGGATTTTGAGAGATCAAATTTTTACTTGAACTAAATACACGTACAAAGGGCCCAAAACAAAGTTTTTGATTTCTCTCAATATGTATATATTCATTCATGATTAGGGTTGCCAACCGTCCCTTAAAAAACGGAATTGTTCGCTATTTAGAAATAAAAGTACCTGTCCCATATTTAGTGGAAAAGGTACTCATTTTGAGCAGCGTCAGCATTTAAATGACTCCGTTTGTCCCCCATACTGCTCTGTTGTCTCCCGCGATCTTCTCCGTGAGCAGCACTTGGCTCGACCAATGGGATGAGGATAGGGTTGCCACCCGTCCCTTGAAATACGCAATCGTCCGATATCTGGAAGTTAAATTACGCGTCCCGTATTGAACTGACAAGGGACACCATTTGTTCCGTATTTTCACGAATAACTAAAAAAAACAGTAATTTCGATAGCACTTGCACACAGAACAACTCCACTGCTGCGAGTGTGACCCATGTTTGCACGTCCTGATTCTCTTTCCCTCCCTCTCGTAGCTAGAGCTTAGAGTTCTATTGTTCTTGATTTACCTTCTCCTTATGATATTGTCTGTCTAGAGCATTCTCCACTCGGTAATCTCTCATCTTGGGGCATTTGTCATGGTTTCCTGGTGACGGTCCTCATGTTTCCTGGCGACTTTCCTCATGTTTCTAGTTCTATAAACTGTGCACCTGCGCAAGCCAACTCAAAGCATCTATTGCAACATTATTCATTAGAGGTGCCCAGCTTGTAATACTGGAGCTGCTGTGGTGGTCTGAATATCCATACGTCCATCATGATCTTGGACAGTGGTTTTCCAAGTGGGGGCCAGAGACCTTGGGGGGCCACAGCAGGTTGGCAGGAAAAGTAGAGCAAAACAAAGTGAGTCATTTAATAAACTGGGTAACTAATAACCAAAATAAACCAAAAATAAGCACAAAAAACCCCAAAAAATATTAATATAATACCGGTAATCTTAAAAAATTCTACCTGGCAAAGCACGCTGTTGGTTTTGTGAGGGGATTTCTGTGCACAATGATACTGTGCAAACTTAACATTTCCATTTATTAATTATTTTAATTGGCTGTAGCTTATTGCAAGAAATACAAGCCACGCTCAAGGAACAAAATAAAAGTATGGTTCTATGTTGAGCTGAAACGGAACACAATTTGATCAAAATACAGGAAATTGCATCTAAGAACTACAAAATGTTCGGGAGGAAGCGCCCAGAACCCCCACGACAATGAAGTTTCTCTAGGACCCCGCTTTCCTTATTTCCATTTCTGAAAGGTGGCAACCCTAAGATTAGCAGAGGCTGGCAAAATTTGAATGTCCAGTTGAACTGCTCAGGTTTTTATGAGTTTTGATAATTTCAAGTGTTTCTGCTGGGTAAAGCTGGGTAAAGCATGCTAGTAAGTAGCAAATAATGCCCTCATGGTGCCTGATGATGATAGCTACTAGCTACATTGTTCCATAGGCCAAATCTGAAGAACCTAGGCGACAAAGAAAAAGTTATAAATACAGATAGTTAAGAATATATTATCTGAATGGGTGACAGTGGAGTCAGATGAAGCAGTTTGATCTGAAATACAAGAAATACACACGCTCAAAGATCAAAATAAAAGTATGGTTCTGTGTTGAGCTGAAACAGGACACAATTTGGTTAAAATGCAGGAAATTGCATCTAAGATATACAACATTTTCTGGGGGAGGACCCCAATTTTTTCTAGGACCTCCGCGTTCCTTATTTCTATTTCTGAAAGGTGGCATCCCTAGATGAGGGTATTCTGGATCGTTATATATATGTTGTCAGCTCATTGGTCACAACGCAGGACAGGACCCAGGAACAAGTTTACCGTGAGTTTTGTATCTTACTGTACGTGCCCTTGTGCATCATTTGCCATTAGCTTTTTACTAATTTTTTTTTTTTTTTATTTCACAGTTATACAGGACAAAGTGCATTCCTTTTCCACTAAATATGGGACAGGTACTTCTATGTCTAAATACTGAACCATTTGGTTTTTCAAGGGACGGTTGGCAACCCCATGTTGTACATATTTTCACCAGAGCTGCCAATAGTTGTGATGTTTGCTGTATATAAGAAGTAAACATGGTATCTAAGGTGATAAAACTTATTTTAGTGCATCAGTTAAATGAAAACCCACAGCATCCCACATGTTGAAGATGACTTTCTCTCATTTGTTTGCAGGGTTTTGTTGCCTCTTCTACTTCCACTCGTGTCAGTGATTTCCTGCTTTGGCCGGAACGACTTCACTAAATCCAGAAACGATGAATATGACACGGTCGGCAGGCAGGTTATAGGTGTAGGAGGGGAGAAAGGAACAGCGCAGGCGGAGGGCATGTTCCTCCAGTCGAGAAAGAGTGAGTCATATCCATTACTCAAAGCCGGCATGTCTTGTGGCTGAATTGCTTTTCTGTCTATTAAGAAGAATGTAGATGGGGAAATGACAGTTCTTCTAGATGCTTTATGTTCAGTCTTTTTAGATTTCTAGCTTAAAGTGAAATCTTTTGTTCCGACTCTGTTGGAAAGTAGTTTAACAAAGGATAAATGATCGATGCTTCATATCAACAGTATACTTTTGAACTTTCTTTGTAAGATAAATTAAAAAATCAGAGATTGATAGCTTATAATATGAAGGGGCATTTAAACATAAAGTTGTATTTTATTTAACGGCAAAAAGTTATTCTTACAACTTAGCTCTAATTTGAGAAAAGTAATCTCTGCTTGTTAATCATGAAGTTTTCAAGTTATTTCATTAAATTTCGCAACCCCCTGATTACTGCAAGACCTGTTAAAAACAAAACGGTTAGAAGTTGACGTCATGTCTGACATGAAGTAGGTCTAAAGCTCTCAAAGAGCAGCATGTGAGGCCCTAATTTAAAGAAATTAAAGGTACATATACGAAATTGAAATTTTTAAAATTTATACGACAGTAAGTTAGTTTTCTGGATAAATTCTTAATTTAAGCCGTTGAAGTATTTTTATTTGTGTCTTTTAAGCTTTGTATTTGTTCAGTTTGTAAGTAAAAATAGCCTGTCTGTGTAAATTTATTATAATAGCATGCAACCGCATACGTCACTGTG